ATATAATATATATAATATAATATATAATATTTTATGTTTATTTTATTTTTTATTTGATTAATTAACGATTATTTTATGTTTATTTTATTTTTTATTTGATTAAGTTTTCAGTCATTCATGTTGTTTAAATGAATCTGTGTTAAATATACCATAAAATGATGGTGGTCAAGTGGTTTGAAGCCTTACCTATGAATGTTTTGGCCCAGGTTCGAATCTAAGGAGCTGCAAAACATTAAATTTTGTCCAATAATTGGTAGAAAAGGTAGGGGCAAAATAGTAATTTCAATTTTAAAATAAAAAAATAAATGAAAAAAATAAATAATTATCGCAGTACATGAAAGTGTGATCCACGCGCTGGTAAGTTGGACGGACAGGGGAAAATCGTGCAACAGTTAGTTAATACAAGGGGGTATGACGCAATTTTTAAAATACAGGGGGAAAACGCATCTTTATAATATATAATTTATATAATATTATATAATATTATATTATATAATAATATATATAACGGTTATTATATAAATTATATAATATTATATAATATATAATATTATATAATATAAAATGATATATTATAAAATATTATATAATATATTATAACGTTATATATTATATATTTTATTATATTATAATATAATATTATATTATTATAATATATATAATATTATATTATATAATATTATAATATTATGTATATAATATTTTATATGTATATTATATATAATATATATATAACGATTATTAAATAATGATTATATAATATATAATATATATATACTATATATAATTAACTATTATATTATATATATAATATATATAATATAATATATAATATTTTATGTTTATTTTATTTTTTATTTGATTAATTAACGATTATTTTATGTTTATTTTATTTAACGATTATATTATATATATATAATATAATATATATAATGTAATATATATTATTTTATGTTTATTTTAATTAACGATTAATTATATATAATATAATTAACGATTATTTTATGTTTATTTTATTTTTTATTTGATTAAGTTTTCAGTCATTCATGTTGTTTAAATGAATCTGTGTTAAATATACCATAAAATGATGGTGGCCAAGTGGTTTGAAGCCTTACCTATGAAAGTTTTGGCCCAGGTTCGAATCTCAGGAGCTGCAAAACATTATATTTTGTCCAATAATTGGTAGAAAAGGTAGGGGCAAAATAGTAATTTCAATTTTAAAATAAAAAAATAAATGAAAAAAATAAATAATTATCGCAGTACATGAAAGTGTGATCCACGCGCTGGTAAGTTGGACGGACAGGGGAAAATCGTGCAACAGTTAGTTAATACAAGGGGGTATGACGCAATTTTTAAAATACAGGGGGAAAACGCGCTGATTTCGTATAATACAGGGGGATTTCGTGCGATAAACCCGTACAAGTGATATTAAAATACCTAAGTTAGTTAAATATTATTTATAGAATGTCCGAACCTAGATATTAATTATTAATATATCAATATTATTTGTCCGAACCTAATTACGAAGCATGATTCTTCACCAAATAGGATTCCGAAGCACCAGAAGCAGCCACGTAGGCTCAGCGCGTTTGGGAATTATATATAGGGGCGATTTTTTTTTTTTTTTTTTTTTGGCAGACCTATCGACTTTTATAAAAGTGTTAATAAATAGAATAATGCCTCTATTACTACATACCGTCCTTTTTTGATAGTTTTGCATCTGACATTTTCTTTGAAATAAAAAAGAAAAACACTCTCACTGGTCTGCCGATGCACGATCGGTTTTGCCAGGAGGCCGGACCGTGCATGGGGTCTCGTCGGTAGGTCAAACCATGCATGGTCGTTTTCATCGGTAGGCTGCACTTTGCACGGCCGGTTTTGCCTTATATTTTTATTATATAAATTATATAAATTATGTTATATAAATTATGTTATAATTTATATAAATTACAAATTATATAAATTACATAATTTATTATATAAATTATGTTATAAATTATGTTATAATTTAGATATATAAATCAAAATTTATTGTCTTATAGTTATGTTGGTATGACTCATATATTGACAAAGGAAGAAGGCAGGCTGATGCCTGCGAGCGTAACGGAGCGAACGTAACGAGGGAAGCGGAGCGACCGAGCGAACCACGTAAATCTTGTGTTGTT